GAGCAATGGTTTCAAGTAAATTTGAAGTACGCAGCTGGTTTAAGTAAAGTATAAACCAAATGTGTCAATAGTTTGAAAGAATCTTTATTAGTAAAATTAATAAGTTCAATTTATGGGAACTAGTAGCCAACTTCTGTGAGCGAAATAGCCAAGACAGTTTTGTAAGCTCTTTTTATTATAAATGACAATGATTACTTTTGTAAAGTTAAAATAAAAAATATTGAATTTAATACGAGCCACCATGTTTGTCATAATACTTAAGAGTACCTATTGGCAATCAATATTGTGCATAATGCATGTTCAGCTTCAAAATAAACAAAATGTAACACAATGCGGTGTGAAGTTAATAAAAAAGAAAGTGAATTCAATATGCCCTCACCTATAACAAATAAAAATTGTACAACATAATTATTAAATGCTATACCAATATTCAATATCACTCAAGAAAATATAAACATCAAAGCTTACTGAATCTTCAACCCAAATGTATTATGCAAGTTTTCATTCAACTACTGTCACGCCAGGCATGACAGATTTTTCACTAAACTTGAATAATAGAAAAAAAAGTCTCAGGTTAAACCATATTTCCTCTATAAATTATTCAAAGCTACATTCACACTGAGCAGTTGTGATCCAGTGAATAATACTGAAGATTTACACAGCCAACTGCTGTAGAGAAATCAATAAGCTCACTTATTATCTGAAAAAAAACATTTATCAGTTGTATACAAAACAATAATCATGTACTATTATTTATTAAAACAATGGAAACTTATAATTAGAAAACCTGCAGTAAAATTACATTTAAGTTTATTAAATTTTAACTTACTTGTGTTTGGCTCGGGAAACCTTGAAAAATCTCGTACTTCCTAAGCTGTCATAAAAAAGATGAAGCAATCAAACCAGATCCAGTTGTTTAGATTAATAAGAAAGTACAACTATAGCCTTAGAATTAAACCTGCTGAAGAGCCACAAATTGATTGTACAGGCCTTTGGGACACAAATTCTGAGGTTTGCATGAACAAAAGATATTTTGGCAAAATAAAAATGAAAAGGATTGAATCACAGCACGATGAAATACAAGAAATTCACTGCTGACAACGACCGCGCTTGAGTCAACAATCATAAGTCACGATCGAATACATAATCAAATGTGCATTGCATTGGCGAGTCCTGACTACTTTTCTTCCATTCCAGGATTAACCAAAAGCGTTTTTATTTTTTTGGGCTTGTTTATCGGAAATATATCTCACCTGCAATCGAACTCATAATCTGGTAGGTCGCTAAAGTAGCTCTCCACACTCAAAATCTGAGACGGTGCAATTCCAGACAGCTGATTTCCCATCTCACTATTTCAAGTAAAATGGCGACTCCACAAAGAAGCATAACAATCGGCGATTTTTTTTAGAATGGGCCAAGTCTTACTACTTGCACCCTAAAAAGCTGTCACTTCATTCTTCTGTTTCAAAAGGTTTAAGAGTGACACATTTTTCAGTATTTTGAAAAGGATAGTTAGCAAGAAAACCAAAATGAAGCGTGACATGGATAGTTGCTTAGTAGCCAAGCCTTGCTTTTTGGTAGTATCCGCTGACCGACTGCGTGGAGACAATAGAGAGCTTTCGAGTCGATGAAAATAGACACCCTGGAAAGCTTCATTGTACTACCTACCCAGTGTCACGCCTAAGGCGTTATTGTCACGCCTGCGGATTGAAAACTTCTATCTCACGCCTACTCATCACCTGTGTTGCAATTTCACACCCCTGGTAAAAATGGTTGAGCCATTACAGCGTTTACTGTCCCATTTTGAAAAGTATATTAATCATTTAAAGAAACTAGAATCAATTAGAAAAGAAAAGTCTTTATGAATGGTCGACTTTCTCAGAATTCTCTTATTTTAGTAGGGAAAGTCACTAGAGACGAGGTCGTGTTCCGTTGTCAGTCGTGTTCCCGTGTTCGTGTTAGACGGAACTCTTCGGAGTTTCTTCGGAAAGTCTTCGAAAATCTTCCAATATTATCGGACACCTACGAAAAATCCTGGCATTCTCAGGATAAGAATGCCACTTCTATAAATTAAAAAAGGTTGGCAGGTATACAAGGTTGAAGGAGGTAAAGCCCTTTCCGACGCTAAATGTTAACATTCCTAACATTTGATAAACTTGTTTTCTCCACTACGACATTCTCGCTAAAACTCGTAGAAGTGACGATGGCTATCACATTTTCCCGCCAAAATGACCTTCGTTCGCACATGCGCACTACCTCGTACTGGGAAAATCTCGTTCTCGTAGTCGTCCTGGTCTTTATAGAATCTAAAGCTCCCTATCATGTCCTCTATCATGTCTACTGGCAACACATAGCATACGAAATATCAGGGTGGCAAAGGGGGTTTCCGTGACGCGTGATGGGACCCCAGCGTGATGCGTTATCGGGCCCAAATGAGTCGCGTCAGGCGTGATTGGGCATAGCAGCGTGAAGCCTGATTTACTATTTTTCACTGTTAACTCGCTTCTTAACTCGGTTGTTAGTTTAACTTCCCCTCCCAATACAGTCAGTCATAGGGTGCTTTCCATTTTGCCAAACCAACCAGAAACCAGTAGAATTATCAAGAGAAAATGGAATCGTTTCGCGTCCCCTGTCTTTTCCCTCCCAATATGCCTTGCGCTTCTCTTGTTTCCCAGCAGTCATCAGTCATCAGTCCGGACGCGGTGAGGAGGGAGCCCGGAGCATTTTAATTTTTTAAATAGCATGTTTCCATACCAGCTCTTCTTTACTCAATAACGCGCTTCTTAACAGTAACGTCGCCGCCTCCAATAACACAATCCCGATCCAGAGTATAAAACAAAAATGAAGTCAGTTTAATTTATTTTAATCATTTTGTTTTTCTGAAAAAAGTAATGCACCATTCTAGTTTACTTTAACAAAGTAAAATTAGACCGAACTAGTTTTCTCCTAACCAAAAGTGGTTTGGCTTGAGCTCCAGTGACACGAAGTGAACGAGGGATCAAACATAATTTCTCAAGGTTCCTTCTTAAGAGAATTCTACCACGCATTGGTCGGTTTCTTCTTTCTTCTTATGGGAAAGCCGTCTCTTCTTTTGATCGTTCATTCAGGCCGGATGAAGTTTCAATTCTGCTTTCGAGCAGAATAAGGCAAATCTGGTAGGTCGCTAAAGTAGCTCTCCACACTCAAAATCTGAGACGGTGCAATTCCAGACAGCTGATTTCCCATCTCACTATTTCAAGTAAAATGGCGACTCCACAAAGAAGCATAACAATCGGCGATTCTTTTAGAATGGGCCAAGTCTTAATACTTGCACCCTAAGAAGCTGTCACTTCATTCTTCTGTTTCAAAAGGTTTAAGAGTGACACATTTTTCAGTATTTTGAAAAGGATAGTAAGCAAGAAAACCAAAGTGAAGCGTGACATGGATAGTTGCTTAGTAGCCAAGCCTTACTTTTTAGTAGTATCCGCTGACCGATTGCGTGGAGACAATAGAGAGTTTTCGATTCGAGGACGACAACGAGTTTTCTGGCCTGTTCTCTTAAAATAGACACCCTGGAAAGCTTCATTGTACTTTTTCACCACAAAAGACCTACCAAGTGTCACGCCTAAGGCGTGATTGTCACGCCTGAGGATTGAAAACTCCTATGTCGAAAAACTGACCACTGGTGATTGGACCAAGCGGTGAAGATTTCTCACCCCTAGTAAAACCCAGTAAAAATGTTTGAGCCATTACAACATTTACTGTCTCATTTTGAAAATTATATTGATCATTTGAATGATCGACTTTCCCCGAATTATCTTATTTTAGTAGGGAAAGTCATTTGAGACGAGGTCGTGTTCCGTTGTCATCGTGTTCCCGTGTTCGTGTTAAACAGAACTCTTCGGAGTTTCTTCAGAACGTCTTCGCAAACCTTCGGATATTATCGGACCCCTAAGAAAAATCCTGGCACTCTCAGGATAAGAATGCCACGCCAATAAATTAAAAAAGGTTGGCAGGTATAACACTGCTGAAGGTGGTAAAGCCCTTTCCCGATCGCTAACTGTTAACATTCCTAACATTTGATAACTTGTTTCTCCACTACGACATCATTAGTCTTGCTAAAACTCGTAGTAGAATGACGATGGCTATCACATTTTCCCGTCAAAGCCAGCTGAACTTATCACAGGAAGGCGTAAACACCCCATAGCATACGAAATATCAGGGTGGGACCCCAGCGTGATGCGTCATCGGGCCCAAATGAGTCGCGTCAGGCGTGATTGGGCATAGCAGCGTGAAGCCTGATTTACTATTTTTCACTGTTAACTCGCTTCTTAACTCGGTTGTTAGTTTAACTTCCCCTCCCAATACATTCATAGGGTGCTTTCCATTTTGCCAAACCAACCAGAAACCAGTAGAATTATCAAGAGAAAATGGAATCGTTTCGCGTCCCCCGTCTTTTCCCTCCCAATATGCCTTGCGCTTCTCTTGTTTCCCAGCAGTCATCAGTCATCAGTCCGGTTTCGGTGAGGAGGGGGCCCGGAGCATTTTAATTTTTTAAATAGCGTGTTTCCATACCAGCTCTTCTTTGCTCAATAACGCGCTTCTTAACAGTAACGTCGCCGCCTCCAATAACACGATCCCGATCCAGAGTATAAAACGAAAAAGAAGTCAGTTTAATTTATTTTCATCATTTTGTTTTTCTAAAAAAAGTAATGCACCATTCTAGCTTACTTTAACAAAGTAAAAGTAGACCGAACTAGTTTTCTCCTAACCAAAAGTTTGGCTTGAGTTCCAGTGACACGAAGTGAACGAGGGATCAAACATAATTTCTCAAGGTTCCTTCTTAAGAGAATTCTACCACGCATTGGTCGGTTTCTTCTTTCTTCTTATGGGAAAGCCGTCTCTTCTTTTAATCGTTCATTCAGGCTGGGTGAAGTTTCAATTCTGCTTTCGAGCAGAATAAGGCCTCACTCCCATGCCTGGGAACATTTCTAATCTATGTTGCGTTGCCAAAAAACGCATTACACTTCTTCAAGAGTTTTGCCACATCTCCGACGGAATTCTTGCCCGTATTCGTGAATCCACTTGTTGCACACTGAAAGGAAGGAATATGCGTCATTTGCAAGTATTCGACATAGGAACTGAGGAACATATTGCACGACTAGGCTATTGACACCAAAAAACCACCGGACAGCCAAAGGACCTACGTTCGTTATCCGGCCCTCTCTCTACTACAGAACCCCCACTGGGTATTCTAATAATAGCAATAATTTAAAAAAGTAAGGGCTCACTGGACGAAGTCGTCCCCAACGCGCTTTCATTCACCATTTTTACATAGAAATAACGCGACTTGTTAGCCACCCCCCACCCCCCTCCCCTCACCAAAATTTTGCAAAAACATTTTTTTCCATTTTTTTCTCCTAGGTATTACAATTACAATCATCCCAAGAAGAATCAAAGACAATAGGTATGCATTTTTTTCCGGGGGGGGGGGGGGGGGGGGAGAGGGGGGGTTAAGGGAAGGCGGAGTAAACAAGGTCCATTGTGGTCTATGTGAAAATGGTGAATTTTTTCCTCTCGCCAGTCCTCCTTATGACACAAAGAAGCCTCTTCGGAGGAGAAAACCTCAAGCCATCATTGATGAGTAAGTATACCCACCCCATTTTGTGCCAACTATAACTGGACAGGCTGCATGTCGTGTCGATGCATCAGGCTCTCCTGATTTGAGAAGATTGTACCAGAAGGCAGCAGTGCCCTACCAAGCAAAGTTATGAATAATTAATGACTAAGGCATATACTTAATATACCCAATTCATAGCCTGTGCCAGGCTCTTAATAGTAGAGAGCTCGCGTGCGAAACAAGCCAAGCGAAAATGTGACACGCGTGATCTGGGGAAGGGGAGGTATAGCGCCTTACGATCTCTAAACATTAATATCTTGGAGCTTGGAATAGGCTACCCAATTCAATCACTTTTTAACAAATTGCACCTAGAAAACCGCTCACTTCAAGCGCACTGTACATGTAGAATTTTATTCACATGTCTTTTGACCAAGCAAATCACGATTAACAACCCTAGAGAAAGTATTCTTAACAACGCTTTTCTAGTTCTTTAGAATCAGTTCTACCAGGTACAAACGATTTGTTTGTTATTTAATTGTCACCTTTTGCGGTTTGATTATCGTTTTTGCATCTAGGAAAACGGTGGAACCGCCTGCTTCCACATCTGTCATCTAAGGAAACATAAAAAAGACGCTAAAATGATGAGCAAACAAGATTTTAAAACCTTCCAAGTTTATTTGGATTGTGCAACGGAGAGTACACAACAAATATTTACTGCTGTATTTCTACCCAAAGCTCATATCAAAGGTGATTTTGCCACATCTTCTCATTTCATAACCTCATTGATAGACTAGCCAAGAACTCAGATATATACATAACCTGCAACCTCGGCAGGATTAGCTCAGTCGGTAAAGCGCTTGATGATTGCAGAGCGGGAGGTTGTGTTTCGATTCCCGGAGTAGGACCAATACTCAGGGTCTTTAAATAGTTGAGAAATAAAGTTACTAACTTTGCCCTGCGAGCAAACGGCTAGACCTTCACGTGGCTAGGATGACCACGAAAAATGGCGGCCCAGTCTCTAGTAGGAGAAGTAGAAATAGTACTTTCGTGTTTAATACATTGACACTCAAATAAAGTAATTTTTTCACATATATATATACTTTAATATGGGATACTTACATATATCAAAACGGTAGCGATCCTATTGCCCATTCCCATTCTGAGAATAGCTGATTTGTTATCCTATTAAAAGGGAATAAAACCTATTAACAAACATTTAACAATTATTCCTCGAGCCCGAATGGGCTCTGAGTCAATAGCTATTTACTCAGCGGGCGAGAGGAATAATTGTTTTAGTAAACGGAAACCCAACTAGTTGGTCAAAAATATCGAGACAAACTGAACAACTTAAGCTAGCAAAACGCGATTCAGCCACCATTGTTTTGGTTTTCAAAGCCGGCGCTTTTCGCTACTGGTAAGCTATAACATATAGCCTAAAAGTAGCTCAACCAATCAGACCGCAGCATTGAGAATAGACCACTAGCTGGATTTACTAAATGTCTATAATCCTTCCTTAGTCTGAGCCGGAAAACAACCGACATTTCGCGACGCGGTTTCCCCGGCCGCGAAATTACGTCAGAGAAAAGAGCACACAAACTCAATACTGACGCGTCACTACCCAGATCTGGGTAGTGCTAACTCAGTCTGATTGGTCGTGCCGCGTGGGAAATTTGCTTCAGCCGATCACAAGCATTTCCCAGATCTGGGTAGTGACACGTCATTAGTATGCTCGTTTCTCAGATTTCATGTCGCCGGGAAACCAGTGGTGGTGTCGCGAAACGTCGGCTGTTTTCTCAGGTTAGTCCTTCGTCATGCATCTTAACATCATGAATCAGATAAGGGCTTGAACCACATACAGAGGAAGAGTATATGATAAACCTCAAACTTGTCGAGTCATAATATAACCCAGAACCTAACTTGCATTAAATCATCAGAGAGTTATTATAACTTTAAAAAGTAAGCTTAAATTAAACATCTTCAAACTTGAAAATACCATTAACTTGTCCTGTACAACATTTTCCCAGGACTTTTCGTTCAGTTATCTAGATCCAGTATCCGAAACGAACGGCACAGAACATAGGCCGCGCGGACTAATTGAGTCTGGGAACTAGGCAAGTACTACAATGATAAAAGTATGCCGACGTCCTAAGCAAAGTGTTTACTTTTAGATGAAATATTGTTGCGTTACTTGACCTGACTGAGTTGACCAGCTAAAAATTTAGAAACTGATAAAGATATACAGAGTTGGATATTTACCGTGGCATGATCCACATGTGGTTCGAATTGTCCAGCAATACCGTAATTAACAACCTGTAAATTGATAATAGATCATTTATTCTTGGCTGAAACCTCAAGTGGGTACCTTAAGAATCAGTTTGAATTACAATTCTGAGAAGGCTCACTCTCCATTAGCTGTTCATTCTTTCATTTTAGGAGCACTTGTATTAAGTTCTTTGAATAAACTAATTTGGTAAAATTAAATATTAGGCCAACATTGTTTTATGGAATGTAATTAAGTAATAGACCACACCGTTATGAGTATATATCCCCAGTAACTCTCAGGTTTGTAAGAAGAAGGCCTAAAAACTAGAGACTGTTCTCAATAAATGAAAAGCTGTCCAATGCCTCTCTGTAAAAACAACCTTAGTTCTCTTCCTTAGGAATACGTTTTACTGGTTTGTTTATTTGGTTGTTTAGTTTATTTAGTTTTTTGTTTACTAATGCTAATGAGATTGTATTACCTGGAGCGGTTCACTGTGAATTCTGGCAGTTGACAATCCTGTCACAGCCTCTAACTTTAAACTCAGCCGTTCAATGACTTCTCCTTCGTAATCTTCTAACCAACCGCTGAGATAATAGGAAGTTTTGAGTGGTTAGGAAATACAACATTGGAATTTCCGGGTTAGGAGGAAATAAACAAACTTCAATCAATAAGCTGTGAGGAAGATTGTTTTTTTAAATATTTATTATTTTGCACATATACAGGAGTATGATTGTCTTAAACTCTTTTACCTTTTGCTGATCCGATAATCAGCAAATTCCAGATTCCCAGTTTTTCCGTTTGTAATAGAAGCTCTCTGAAGCTAAGACAATGCATAAATAATGAAAAATTTAGATAATTCATCATCATCGTCATCACCATCATTATTACTATTATTCAATAATTTAGACAATTTATTATTATTATTATTATTATTATTATTATTATTATTATTATCACCATCATCATTACTTTCAGCTTACTGTAGCAGAAGCCCGCTCACACCAAAGGCACACACCAGTCGAGACCTGTAAGCGTGGTGGCCTGAGTCTCAGTCTTACGCACAGGGTGACCTCTGCCGCCTGCCGGACCATATTTGACCATGGGCCTTAGCACAGACCTCAATATTTTCCAAAAACAATACAGAAATAAAACACAAACTGAATTATTCTAGAGCTATGATGTGTTTTTTTGTTTTCAACGCATAAAAGCTCAGATTATGCCAGCAGTGCTAAACTGAAATAAAAGCTTAACATAATGCTCGTTTTGCTGAATTATGCTTAAAATTATGCTAGCACAATCTACCAAAGCCTACCCCGGGGGGCTTATATTTGGAGGGGCAATTGAACGGACGGTTTTTTGCGTTACGATTTTGGGGGGCTTATATTTGGAGGGGCTTATACATGGAGGGGCTTATTTTCGGAATTTTACGGTACCACCGTCAATGCAAAAGGTCAAAACGAACAAGCTTGTTGACCTTTTCTTTTCATGGTGCTACCCAAGAAAAGATGAGGTCCTTAATTCTATAAGCTATCTTCTAGCAAGTGTCAAGCGTGCCGTAAAGAAGTTGGTAAAAACCTACCCTTGGAGCAGCAAGGTTTTTAATGAATTCAATATCTGAATCTCGGATGATGTCGTGTAGAAGGTAAATATCTGGTTCCAGATTTGCCATCTCAACTTTTACGGGTTTGATGAGTAGCAAAGGATCTTTGTCGTAGTAGTAGCATGTCAGCTTATCTTGGTCAGCTTGACTCTATAAAAACCAAAGGGTTTTGGCGAATACGTCAAAGATATCATTACTTCCTTCCTTTCTACCTTCATTTATTATCCTAGCTATTAATTAAATAACCTCTTCTTCATTTTATGAAACTGTGGTCGAAATATTCTGAACAGGCTTTGGATATCCGTGCCGCTTTTTGTCCCTCTTCGCACTCATGAAATTCTCGCGCTTGGCTTACATTTCTTTGTCCTCTTGTATCGTTAGGCTTCCACAGCTCCTCAAATTGTGGATAACCTTAATGATTATATAGAGAATATTATATAGCCGCGCGGAGATACGAAATTTCTCTTCGAGTATTGAAAAATATTTCACGAGTGAGCGCAGCGAACGAGTGAAATATTTTTGTCAACACGAGAAGAGAAATTTCGGATCTCCAAGCGACAATGTAATGTTTTATTTTATATAAACACCAATAAAATACAAACCATTTTATTTAAATAGTTTTTTGGTGTGAAAGGTGCGATTTATTATGTAGCCTCAGCAACAGTGATGTTTTCACATGTGAAGATACATGTTACTTTTCACATGTGAAGATATCAAGTTTTCGCCTGAAAGCTCACTTGGTATTTCATTTGTATATATATAATAAAGTACTTTATCCTATGATACATTTTTTTTGCATGGCTCTCGTGTTCAGAGCACGAAAAATATTTTTGTACCTTAGTTGAATTGCCCCTGCAAAGTTGCTCATAACGCAATATGTATTCTTCTTTTGATTTTACTTTCTTGCTAACATCAGATTTTTCCTCTTCATCTTCAGTATCACGTTCTTCCTCACTTAACTCTCCATCCTTCATCTTACGCACTCTGTCTTCAAAGTACATCTTGTTTTGTTGTAATACTTCGTCGTCAGGTTCTAAAACAGAATAATAAAAAATCCAAGCAAAAACTAAGCACATACAATGTCACTTGAATGGATTTTTTAATCTAGCTGGAATATCGCCTTTATTGCATTTTTTAACATAGAGCAATATTAAATAAACCTATTAAATAACGTAGAGTAGTAATCCTATGGAAATAGCGGTAAGACCAAACTCAAAAAGAAAAAATACCCACAGAACCAAACTCTTTTGTGGAACTCCGTGGGATGGCCAGTTGGATGGCCAGTACTTAAGTACCTAACGCATGCGCAGAGCCAGCTGTTTGGTGCGTGTTGGAACTCACCAACATAGTTTACTATATAGGGGAAAAGGACTCACATGCGAGCAAAGAACCCGCCGGGCTGTAAATGCGCCTTTGGGTTTACAATGGTTCCAGGCTGTTCCCTGGAAAAATCTGTTAGGAGATGGGAAAGAGTTGCGTTTCCCGTGTCATGAATTCGCGCCAAAAATTCTGTGAGGTGGCAGGAAACAGGCATCTAGGTTTAACTTGATGAGGGTTCATAATCAATCATAGTACCATACCTTCTTTGAGCAATTCGTTGGTATGATTAAGAGCGCTTTCAATTCTACCCGTCTGGAAGGAGAGGAAAGTAAAGTTATTCGATATTTGATGTATTTTCTCTTAATTTATACCACTGTAACAAAAAATTGTAGCTCATACATTGGGTTTTTTTCATACCTGATCATGACACGGTGCAATTTTAGTTTATCTTGCAGTCAACGCATTGTGAACATGGCAAATTCAAGGACATGAAACTAACCAGATGTGGGTAATAAGGTAGCCTGCGAGCAAGCTCTCCGGGGCGCTCTGGCGGCGGGGCGAGAAAGGAAGGTGAGCTTGCAGTCACGTCTCTCTTTCTCTTTTCCCTCCCCCACCCCCGTACCCCCGGAAACCCAGGAAAGCTTTCTCGCAGGCTAGGAATAAGGACGATTATGCCGGATATTAAGAGGAAGAATGGTAAATCGGGCACATATTTGCAGTGTGGACAAGCATTAGTGAATAACGATCTTTAACCTAAACGAATTGAATTGAGGCCGTTTCGTCCGAAAGTCCGATTCGCCCGAAAGCGTTCGCTAGACGACACTCTACAACACGATGGACTTACTTCCCCGAGATGTTATTTTAGTTAACCTTGAATTCCACATGTGCAGTCACAGTCGTTCCATGATTATTCCTTTTTCTGAGGCCTAACTAACGACAAATACACATCGGGCGAATCAACCTGCGGGCGAAACGACGATATCAACGATTTTACTGCGTGAATCGTGCATAATCTCTCTCAATCTTGAGCCTTTTCTTCCTTTTCCGATGCTGTTCAATTCCCAGTCAGCTTAAAGCGGGATGGAGTATTTAGGGCCGAACTCATAGTAAAGAAAGATATTTTATCGGAAGGGAGTAAAAATTCTTCTGACACTAGTTCACAGGGGCACCCAACGTCAATTTTCGGAAAATATCTGTTCGGAAGACGATTTGAGATCTAGAATTTTCGGAACATTCGTTCAGTAAAATTTCTTGCTTGCCTGCCTCTCCTAGAATTGTGGAACATGTAAATAATGGTACAATTGCCCATTTTTAACAGCTTTTTACCCTAAATTTTCGGAAGCCTTTTTTCTGGCTGAAATTTTCGAAAAGGTAAGTTTTCGGCTGATTTTTGACCCCTATAATCTTCGGATCACTAGACTTTCGGCTAACAACTTGATCCGAACAAATGAAAAATTTTTAGGGGATAAAAATATACCTATATCTACCGTTTAATACTAAAATACGTTAAACAATGCTATTATTATTGTTTAAGTGGTTTTGAACTATATTCTCGCTGGGTGCCCCTGAGTTCAGTTAGAGACCTTAACTAGTGGCTAAAGCCGAGTTGTTGGTACCACTCTTTGAATTTTGCCAGCAGCCGGAAAACAATATATTTCGTCCCATTGTTAGCCTCGCTCCTTGCCGTTAGTGAAGATGTCACAGTGCTGTCCCAGGGGCCAATGCAGGCCGGTTATTTAATTAATTTTGTAATAAGTTACATATAGTTTTCTAGTTAAATTACCTTATACTCCGCCCAAAACAAATACTGGAGGACGTCTTTTTTTGTAATTCCACTGCCATTGTCTTGCAGATTCATTCGTTTCCAGGCCTCTATTAACCACTCATACGCTTCCTCGTATTGCTCCCATTGATGTCTCATAAATCCTAATTCCAGGCAGTGTGCTGCGTCCATTTCAGGGCTAAGCGTTTTATGAGATAGCTTTCCGGAGGCAATTCTCTCTGCGCTGATGTTATAGACATCTTGAATCCGGAGAATTGCTAACGCACAGCCTTGTAAATCTTGTTTATCCGGAAAAGAGGAGTTGTGTTCTTTTATAAGCTCAAAGAGTACTGGAAAATGAAAATTGTTCAGTTTTTTTTTAATTAAAAAAACATCCTCGATGGCAGAGGATAAAGTTGTTTTGAGTTTTCAGAAAATATCTCATCCTTAAATGTTGATAGTTAACGGTGTGACAGCTTTGGGATATATACTAAACTGGCTTCAGATTCATCGCGTCTTAGCACGCTTGCTAGAAGCTCACGAAACCTTTTGCAATTTTGACTGAATGTTTGTCCATTCGATAAGCAGTGGTTAAAACTACACAGAACATAGCATCCTCCCAACACATATTTAGAATTCTCTCACAAAAACGTAACATTAGGCAGCAGTGACTTCTTTGAAAGTTTCTTGACAAACGATATAAGCTGGTACCCGAGTCTTCTGTAGTCTCGTGAGTACAGCGCACGTGGTTCCCTTCACATGGTTCTTGAAACGATATTTATTACAATTTTAGTTTCAATCTATCCGGATCAGCCAGATCAATAGGGTATATGTACAGCTTTGCAAAAAGTGCAAAATACAGTTTGTTGTATAAATGCTTCAAGTTTGGACTTTTTTTCAGTGTTGAGATTGATTAAATTTCTTCTTTCTCTTTAAACCCTGTTATGGATACAAACTGCATGAGTGGGAATACGAACACTTGTTTGTACAACATAATCAAATTATCATTTTGGTATTTACTTGAAATTACGATGTATCTAGCTGTAATAGAACAACAAAGAACAATTCCGTCCTTACCAACACTATAGGATTAATCAATTGAAAAGGTGATTTTCATTTACTGACAAAAATAACTTTCTTTCTGTTGTTCTTGTTAAAAGGACTGGAAAGATTATTCGTTACCTTTACCGACAGGATCTATCGCAGCCAATTTTTCCATGACGATTCTCCAATCGCGTAAGAAACGGCGTACAAGCAAATACGAATTGACAGGATGTCCAAGAAATACTTCCATGTCGTCGTCTTCAATATCTTTCACATGTTGGCCGACAAGGTGTGCAAACTGGTGAAATTCGGACGAAGCAGAGGGTTTTTTCTGTAAATACTTTTCCAAATATGAATAGAAGCTTTGTTCCAGTCCTACAAAATCTGTCATGTGAATCAGGGATGTGAATATTTGGGTTTGAGAGAATGAAAAGGTGGTGGCGAAAAGAATCGAAGTGCGTAAAATTGACCAAAATGGCATGACCATTTTTAGAGACCGACTGAGTTGTTGATTGCTCGTGCGGTGTTCAAAACCGATTTTGGCTGAAGACCATGACACAAAAGACCCGCGTATGATATCACAACGGGTACCAGAAAATCGGTTCCTTGGATCCAAATTATCGAAGAGAACAATTCCACCCATTAAAATTTGGCTTGATTATCAGATTTTAATTAGATGTTTTCGATTACGGAGCTTCGCAAGCTGAGTGTTCATAAACTACTATAAAAAACCACGAAAAGAAAAAAACTGAGAGCTACGTTAAAATAAGACCACATACCGACTGAAATGAATGAATGAGAGCTGTCTTAAAGTTTATTTTCAAACTACATCAGATAGATTCTCTTTTGCTAAACTTTTTTCACATATGATATCCTTTTGTGGCTATCTTTTGTGGATATCCTTTCGTGGCTATCAGAATTAAACAGTAACTGCAGGTTCGACAAAATGTTAAGCAGAATTAGACTGAAAACATGTAATCCATGATTATCAACCATGCAGGTGTTCTTTCTGAACACTGATATTTTAAATTAGTAACTTTTAGAAAATGCTGGAAGGCTAATTATGATAGCTCTTTTGATTATATTATTTCGTGTAAGGAGAGATTTTCCATGAATTCTTTATTTGCCTCGAATATCATACATAGCTTTCAAATATTCGTTTTGACGTTGTTCTTAGTAATTCATACTGAATTTGCATAAATAAGTTTTAGCTCCGCAAAAAGGCTCGTGCCATTTTTATTATCCTTTGTTTCATTTGCTTTGTGTCAGTGCTAGGTAGTAATCATAAAAAAAAGCCAACAGTGTTCCTTAACAAACAAAACTAATTGCTCGTTCTCTTTTCAATTATATACATTTTACGTCAATGTTGACTCTTGAAAGAATACCTAATTTCTTAATAATGGTTTATTTGACTTCAGTCTATTTTTCGTGATTTAACTACCAGACGACATCTATTCATGGTAACGCCTTTGATACAGGTGTACCTTGTTCTAATTGCAACTTAGTTATATTTATTTGCAAAAGTATATTTCATTAAGTTGTTAGTTAAGGAGAGGTGATAACCGAATTTTGAATATGAAAGGTTTTGCTGTCTTGTAATTTAAAAATTAGATCGGTTTTCGTTTAAAGTGAAAACTTCCAATTAGCCTGCGCTTGTCCTGTTTAAACAGCCGATACCTTAACTTGCAATTTTATTCATATTGTAACACTTTGCACATAAACACTGTTTTGCTGACCTGGCTAGGTCTTTGTCTCAGTACTTTTACTTTCTAAAATAGCAACAGTAACAAAAGATTTCAGGTTAAAAATAGAATTTGTATTTAGTTTTCATTTAACTCTAAGTGATATCTGTTTTAATATATTTCTATTGTATTCTTTTGTCTTCAATGGTTGTAAAAATCATATATAAGTAAGTTGCTTTGAACTGATTTTTCAATTACATCGTCGATTATTTCGCCGTGTCCTAGCCGAGTTATTGCTGTTTGATCCGCTGAAGAATAAACGCTGTTGGAACCAAGTTTAGTTCTGTTTTATCTACTGCTGTACCAGTTAGTGGTCAGATCCCGGTCCTTCAGAGAAGTGACGGCTCTTCCCCGCAAGCGAGTGGCCATTTGAGTCTAGTTTTCCCCAGTTTTATCGTGAGTCAAGCACCGAGTTCCCATTGAGCCTTAAATTCTTTTCAAAGTGGAAAAGCCTTCCGTCACATTCGGTCTCCCCTTGTGATCTACATTGTTATCTAATGTTACACTTTTCAACAAAGGGCTTGGCAAATATGGATCAAAGTGAAAGCCACTTGTTCGCATAATGGGGCAGCAATTAATTGCTCATATCCGAAATACTACACTTAAACCCAATGTAAGACTATGCGCATCCTGTCATTAAATTAACCCCTGTGACAAGATAAGAATTTTTTCCTTTTAGTGAAGAAATCCAAACTGATAAACTCAGTGACAAGACCAGAATATCTCAAGATCAGGTGGCGATGATTTCAATTGATGCTTGATGGAAGTTTGTCAACAGTATTCCTTTATCCGAAAAAAAAGGAGAAAATGGAGAAGGAAAACCATGAATGGATGAAGTTAACATGACGTCGAACTAGAACAAATATTTTCAAATGGCAAGTAATAAAATGTTACCCTTGGCGACACGAGTGGAGATGAATTTTCTCCATCAAATTCATTAAAAATATTTGAAAGGGCAACAATGTTTCGGCAATCAATGATACTCTTATAGGCTTAATTTACCATGAAAAAAAAAACGATGTCTACGTACAATCCAAGAAAATAGAATAACTGCTGACGAGTTAAGGAAATTCGTTTTAGGGACTTATTCTCCTCTATCTTGGCATCCATTTAACTTTTAAATTTCTTTAGTTTAAACTCATTGAAAGCTAATGCATGTTTCCATACCAGCTTTTCTTTACTCAATAACGCGTTTCTTAACTGTAACGTCGCCGCCTCCGATAACACGATCCCGATCCAGAGTATAAGACGAAAAAGTAGTCAGTGTAATTTAATTTTTATTTCAATCATTTTGTTTTTCGTGAAAAAGTAATGTACCATGCTAGTTTACTTTAACAAATTAAATTAGACGGAACTAGTTTTCTCCTAGCCAAACGTTTGGCTTGAGCTTCAGTGGCACGAACTGAACGAGGGATCAAAGATAATTTCTCAAAGTTCCTTCTTAAGAGAATTCTACCACGCATTGGTCGGTTTCTTCTTTCTTCTTATGGGAAAGCCGTCTCTTCTTTTGATCGTTCATTCAGGCCGGATGAAGTTTCAATTCTGCTTTCGAGCAGAATAAGGCCCCACTCCCATGCCTGGGAACATTTCTATGTTGCGCTGCCAAAAAACGCATAAATTACTCTTCTTCAGGAGTTTTGCCACATCTCCGTCGGAACTCTTGCCCATATTCGTGAATCCACTTGTTGCACACTGAAAAAAAGGAAAATACGTCATTTGCAAATATTTGAAGTAGGAACTGAGGAACACATTGCATGACTACTGGGCTATATTGACCCCAAATAGCCACCAGACAACCAAAAGACTCTGTTCGTTACCTGGCCCTCTCTCCACTACAGAACCCCCCCCGGATATTCTATACTAGCAATATAATAGTAGTAATTAAAAAACAGTAAGTGCTCGCTGGACGATGTCGTCCTTCGCGGGCTTTCATTCACCATTTTTACATAGACCATAACGCGACTTGTTAGCCACCCCCTCCCCTCCCCTCACCAAAATTTTGCGCAAACATTTTTTTCCATTTTTTCTCCTAGGTATTACAATTACAATCGTCCCAAGAAGAATCAAAGACAATGGTTATGCATTTTTTTCGGTGGAGTGGGTGGGTGGGGGGGAATTAAGGGAAGGCGGGGTAAACAAGGTGCATTGTGGTCTATGTGAAAATGGTGAATTTTCTCCTCTCCCTAGTCCTCCTTATGACACAACGAAGCCTCTTCGGAGGAGAAAATCTCAAGCCATCATTGATGAGTATGTATACCCACCCCATTTTGTGCCAACTATAACTGGACAGGCTGCATGTAGTGTCGATGCATCAGGCTCTCCTGATTTGAGAAGATTGTACCAGAAGGCAGCAGTGCCCTGCCAAACAAAGTTATGAATAATTAATGAACCCAAGTCATAGCTAGTGCCAGGCTCTCAGATAGTAGAGAGGTCGCGCGCGAAACAAGTCAAGCAAAAATATCGGACACGCGTGATCTGGGGAAGGGGAGGTAGCACCTTCGCTCTCCCCAAACTCCCAGCGTTTTACGCATCAATTGTCACGACTTCTAAACATTAATATCTTGGATCGTGGAATACTGTATTTATTCGATTAACCGCCCGGGGCGCTTATTAAATTTTTGGACCTTGAGAGTGGGCACTTATTCGAGGTGGGCGCTTATTAAATTTTCACCATTTTCAGCAAGTGAAGTATGTTTATTTTGCAACAAAACAATAAGTGCTAATAACAAAACGCGAAGAAGTAACAAAGCAAGGTTTCTGTAAAATACTCTGAAGAAAACTCCGTCCTAAGGGAAGTCTCTTATTAGAATTTATTCACTCGACTGGGTGAGGTGGGGGTGAGCGCTTTTTTGAGTTTGATTGAGAGGAGGGGGTGGGTGCTTATTCGAGGCTGGGTGCTTTTTAACTTTTTCTGCCTTTAGGATGGACGATTATTCGAGGTGGGTGCTAATTCGAGGTTGGGCGCTTATTGGAATAATTACGGTAGGTTACCAAATACCTTAGTTTTTTTAATTAACGAATTGCAACGAAAAAAAAACGCTCACTTCAAGCGCACTGTACATGTAGCATTTTATTTACGTTTCTGTTAACCAAGCAAACCATGATTAACAACCCTAGAGACAGTATTCTTAACAACACTTTTTCTACCAGTTCTACCAGGTACAAACGATTTGTTTGTTATTTAATTGTCACCTTTTGCGGTTTGATTATCGTTTTTGCATCTAGAAAAACGGTGGAACCGCCAGCTTCCACATCTGTCATCTAAGGAAATATACAAAAGACACTAAATGATGAGCAAACAAGATTTTAAAAACTTCCAAGTTTATTTGGATTGTGCAACAGAGAGTACACATACAAATATTTACTGTTGTATTTCTACCCAAAGCTCATATCAAAGGTGATTTTGCCATATCTTCTCATTTCATAACCTCATTGATAGACTAGCCAAGAAGACAGACATACACATAATTTGAAACCGAGCAGGATTAGCTCCGAGTCGGTAGAGCGCTTGATGATTGCAGAGCAGGACCAATACTCAGCGTCTTAAAATAGCTGAGAAATAAAGGTACTAACTTTGCCCTGTGTGCAAACGGCTAGACCTTCATGGGCTCGGATGACCACGTAAGATGGTAGCCCCGTCTCCAGTAGGAGAAGTAGAAATAGCACTTTCGTGCTTAATACTTTGATACTCAAATTAAGTGCCTACTTTAATATGGGATACTTACATATATCAAAACGGTGGCGA